GACAGAAGATTGACATCCAAGATACATGGAGAATGAGGAAAAAAGGAACACAAAGCAAACTGTGGATTCCAAAAACTAAGCAAATGTTCTGAAAAGACAATTCTCAAAATGAGAAATGAAAACAGACAATGAATTTGTGAAAAAGTGTTCATGGTCTGAGTAATCAGGGAAATTCAAATTACAGGGGCTTTGAAAATCCATCTCACTCCTCTCAGTGGAGTGGCATTGCTGCTCAGTTGGTAGCACTTGCTTATGATGCTAAACCCCTAGTCATGAGCTCCAGCACAGTGTAAAAGGAAATGTGTTTTACATGCCCAAATTCCCAACATATGGGTACCGGAGACAGGAAAATCAAAAGTGCATAGTCATCCTTATTTACATAACAAGTTTGGTGTCTATGACTGTGGTGGTTTGAAAGAAAATGGCCCCAAAGGGAGTGGCACTATTAGGTGGTGTGGCCTTGTTGGAGGAAGCGTGTCACTGTGGGAGCAGGCTTTGAGGTCTCTTTTGCTCAAGCTTCCCTCAGTGTGACAGTCAGTTGACTTCCTGTTGCTTGCAAGGTGTAGCACTCTCTCAGCTCCTGCACGTTGTTGCCATGCACCCCTTCCTGATCATTGGACTGAACCTTTGAAACTGTATGGAAGCCACCCCCAGTTAAATTTTTTCTTTATAAGAGTTGCCACGGTCATGGTGTCTCTTCACAGCAATAAAAATACCCTATGATGCCAGGCGTTGGTGGCATATGCCTTTAATCCCAGCACTCGGGAGGTAGAGGCAGGAGGATCTCTGTGAGTTCGAGGCCAGCCTGGTCTCCAGAGTGAGTGCCAGGATAGGCTCCAAACTACACAGAGAAACCCTGTCTCGAAAAAAACAAACAAACAAACAAAAAATGCCCTAAGACAACACCCTGCTTAAAACAAAAACAAAACTAAATCAGAAAATGAGAAAACAGTACTGGTTATAAAGGATAATGTCTGTTTTGCAAATGTAGTGGGAGACTGAAAGGAGCAGCCAAACAGCAATAAGATAAATAGGAAATGGAACAATCTTTCCATAAACTCACTGTCATGTCTGCAGCCACAGCGCAGCTGTCTTCACCCCATATACAGGGCTTACAAGATTTCTTCATCACATACTTTCTCTTTTCAAAAAGGCAAGACTCTCAACCTCATATGAGATTTTGGAAACATTTAATGGAACATGCTTTGTTTCTATGACATTCCTAACAATTTCTGAAGCTTTCCTAATTTTCACTTTAACAAATAGTTTTCATAAACTCATTAAATAGTAAGATGTATCTTACCAAATTATGAGGAGGAATATGGACAGAAAATGGAAAAGGCAGTTATTCTGTTGAATAATGTTGAATAAAGGAAATGATGAGATGTAACATGGAGTGAATATGTAGTTTAGTATGTCCACTTTGACACATTTTCAAAGCAAATTCTCAAAAACACAATACAATATTAAAACATCATTTAAGCATTTAACCAGTCAAATAATCACTACTTCATGGAATACAATAAAGTAAGTAATATATTAAATGACATATAGCAGTCACATGAGACAGAACTGGCATCAATAGATTGAAGAAAACCACCATCGGTTTCTGTAGATATAAGATCAGGAGTGTCAAGTCGCTGACAAAGATGAGCTACCAAACCTTACCTACATACAATATTTTAATGTCTGTGACAGAATGTTATTCTAAACGCAATACTCACAGTGCATTAGGAAATGTCATTATTTACCAGAAAATCACTAAATTTCACATGAATTAAATACCCTTAATGTACTATATGATCTTTGGGGAGAAAAATCCTCTAAAGTCTCCAGATCAAGTCTTGTTCTGATAAAAATCTAGTATTTGTGATCCTTTCAGTGTTCAAAGTTGAAGCAATGTAATCCTTTGGTTTTCTAACAAATTGATACACTCAAAACTTGAGACATATGAATGATTTTGAGATCTGCAATATGTTTTTCAGCCATACCAAACAACAATATATTATAAATTACAAGCAATATTTTCATGCCTTGCTAATATTCCAGTTTACCTTTGTAAACACAGACCAAAAGCAACCTGGGGAGGAAAGGGTTTATTTAAGCTGACAAATTATGAAAGACCACAACTCAAATCCAGCCTGATACCCACCAGCATGTATTTGAAAATCACTCTCGCTACACACAGCTCTGGGAAAAAGAACACATGAAATGGTCAGTCATGATGACCAGTCTCTGGAAATTGTTATTATTACTAGTTTCCAAGGAATGTTATTATCCTCAACAACTGTCTGGTTTCTAAAAATTGTTATGGGTTACCCTGCTCCAGAGCACCCAAGTTTTGAAAATAAGTACTGAAAGATTCAGGCATTATGATGGCCTGCCCCTGTTACCTGGTGGAACAGGCAGTACCCTGGTCAGCCCAGAGTTCCATGGGAACTAAGTCTGCATGTAGGTACAGAGGACCCCTTTAAAAGACAGACTCCTGCCCATTTACTCTCTCTCTCTCTCTTCTTCTCTCTACTCTCTCTACTCTTCTCTTCTCCCATCTACACTCTCTCTGCCTCTCTATGGCGATTGGCCATGGCGGTCAGCAATTAACCCTGTTCCTCTTCTCTCTTAGTCTCTCTACTCTGCTGGTCCTATAATAAACTGGTTAATATGTCTCATCTTGCACTCCTCTTTTTCTTTATATCTAATTTAAACAAAAATCTAACATTTGGCGCCTCCATAGGAACTAAGTCTGCACGCAGGTGCAAAGGACCCCTTTAAAAGACAGACCCTGCCCATTTACGCTCTCTACTCTTCTCTTCTCCGTCTTCTTCTGCTTCTCTTCTCTCTCTTTCTATGGGGAACCAGCCATGGTGGTCAGCCATTAACCCTGTTTCTCTTCTCCTTTAATCTCCACTCTGCTGGGCCAATAATAAACTGGTTAATATGTCTAATAGTCTCATGTCTCATCTTGCGCTCTTCTTCCTCCTCTTCTTCATTTCTAATTTAAGCAACAGAATAACAAGTACAAGTCACTCTGTTCCCAGAAAAACCACTAGCTGTCCCATGGCCTTGAAGGTGTAAAAACCAAAATAACAATCCAAACCCCTCGTGGGCAAAATTGTAAGTTCAGTTCCAAGATGGAAGAACCAGGATACAATTACAATGAAACCAGAGAAAATCCCAGATCCAACAGTGTAAATATTCAGTGTTCAGTGTCTGGGATTTGCTCATGATCATCTGAGTTTGAAAGGATATAGCCAGCCCCATCTGTCCTGATATGGCATCTGGAGACACAGCTTATCCTGTAGGCTCAGGCCTACTCCACTTTCTATATGTGGGTGGCCTTGATGGGCATTCCACAGTGTTGGCATCTCCAACGAAGCTGGGCTGGCACCTTCAGCAATGGACTTTTCTGGCTTCTTTAGGATCTACAATCATGCCACATGTCACCAAGTCTCAGTTTTTCTATGTGACACCTTTAATCCTGGGGTTTCCACTACAACTGAGGCTGCACCTTCACTGACAGCCTCTTTACTATGGCCTCACATATTGCCAAGAATCAGTTGTTTTCTATGGCCCCTTAAGTCCTGCAGCTTTCTGGCCAACAAAATCAGTACCACATGGGAGACTTTTACACATTACCAAGTTTGGCTGCCAGCTTAAGATGTAGCCTTGGCCTCATCTGAAATACAGATCCTGAAGGCTGGTACTGAGAAAATAAACTTGCAGATTTTACCTCAATGCTGGTTTCTTACAAATCACAGCTGTTTGTTGCAGACCCACTTAATGAGCATTAATTGTCTTAATAACCAAAGATTTTACTTCAATGGTTCTGGTCTCTTGTTAATCAAGGCTGTTTCTTCAGCCCCAGCTGGACCGAAATCACAGATTCATAAATAAAATAAATCACACAGACAGCCAAGATGAACAGTGGAAAACCCAGAACTTCCTTCCTTCCTTCCTTCCTTCCTTCCTTCCTTCCTTCCTTCATTCATTCCTTCCTCCCTCCCTCTCTTTTCTTAAATTATTTTAAAGATTTATTTATTTATGTATTTGAGTGTTTTATCTGCATGTATTATGTGCACCAGGTGCATTCCTAGTGCCTGTGGTGATTGGAAAAAGATGTTGGATGCCCTGGAACTGGAGTTATGAATGTTTGGGAGCTACCATGTAGGTGTTGGGAACTGAACTTGGGTCCTCTGCAAGAACAAAGGGTGATTTTAACCAGAAAGCCATCTCTCCAGCCCCTCAGCTTGCATTCTTATACAATTCAGGGACCACTTTCTCAGAGGTGACACCACCCACAGTGAGACAGAGCATCCCATATCAATCATTAATCAAGAAAATACCACCAAAGCATGGGCTGGTAGACAATTCTTCAATTCATGTTCCTTCTTCTCAGGTATCTCTAATTTGTGCTAACACGAACTAACCAGCACAGCCGATACAATTCATAGGATTTGCCTCCAATAATATCCATATATTTCTTTAGATGTAAGTGATTAGGTAATGACTGTGACATCATTTACACAGTGATTTCTAGTGTAACAAATTTTCTCTTTTCATGTTTATATATTTGAAAATGATCTTCCAGTGTACATGTGTACAGTTTCTGTGGCATTCACTCCCAGTTGATGAAGATCTGTCCTCATTTAAAGGTTTAGCCACATTGTATTGGAAGAGTTTCTCAATAATACTTCTGTTGATTATGTTGTGAAGAATAAGGGATTTCCCATGTTAAATTTGTAGGATTTCTCTCATATGTAATATTTTGATGGTGTGTATAAAATAACTATTCAACAGTTGAGAGTCCTTCTTTGCCTTTACAAGATCTCTCCAGTACTAAATTGATGGTATTGAGGAAGGGTTGAACTATTAGTAAATTCCTTGCAATTCTATTGTATCGAATTCTTCTTAATGTTTTGAATTATAGATGAACATTATTGAAGGCTTCGCAACAGTGTTTGCATGAATCTGGATTTTCTCTAGTTTGAATTCTGTTGTGTTTAAGTAAAGCCTGCAAAATTTTTAAAGGTGTTGCCATGATGTTCACATTTGTAGGGCTTCTCTCCACTATGGAGTCTGAAATGATGTTTAAGGTTTGAAGAAGAGTTAAAGGCTTTGCCACAGTCATCGCATTTGTAGGGTTTCTCTCCAGTGTGAATTCTCTCATGTTGAGTAAGGCCTGTAGTACAAGTGAAGGCTTTGCCACAGTCTTTGCATTTGTAGGGTTTCTCTCCAGTATGAATCCTTTGGTGTCGAGTTAGATTATGACAGTTATTAAAGGCTTTGTCACATTCGTTGCATTTATAGGGTTTTTCTCCACTATGAATTCGCTGGTGCTTCATATAGGATGAATAAATGCTAAAGGCTTTTCCACACTCATCACATTTATATGGTTTCTCTCCAGTATGAACTCTCTGATGGTAAATAAGATTGGAAGAACAGTAAAAGGCTTTGCCACATTCCTTGCATTTGTAGGGTTTCTCACCAATATGGATTCTCAGATGCTTATGCAGGTATGAAGCAAAAGTAAAGGCCTGGCCACATTCGTCACATTTGTAGAGTTTCTCCCCACTATGTATTCGTTGGTGTTGGTGAAGGCTGGAAGAACAGTTAAAAGCTTTGCCACAATCTTTACATTTATAGGGTTTTTCTCCAGTATGAGTCCTCTGGTGTTTAGAAAGAATGAAGCGAACATTAAAGGCCATGCCACATTCTTCACATTTGTAAGGTTTCTCTCCGGTGTGAATCCTCTGGTGTTTAGAAAGTGTTGAGAGAACATTAAAAGTCTTTCCACATTCTTCACATTTGTACGGTTTCTCTCCAGTGTGAATTCTTTGATGTTTAGAGAGTGCTATGCGAATAGTAAAGGCCTTGCCACACTCTTCACACTTGTAGGGTTTCTCTCCAGTGTGAACTCTTCGGTGAACAATAAGGCCTGAACAATTAGTAAAAGCTTTGCCACACTCTTCACATTTGTAGGGTTTCTCTCCAGTATGGATTCTTTGATGCTTACACAGATATGATGAACAGTTAAAAGTTTTGCCACAGACTTCACATTTGTACGGTTTCTCTCCAGTATGAATTCTTTGATGCTGTTTAAGGCTGGAAGAATAGTTAAAAGCTTTGCCACATTCTTTACATATGTAGGGTTTCTCTCCTGTATGGATTCTCTGGTGTTGAACAAGCAGTGATTTCCAATCAAAGGCCTTCCCACATTCTTTACATTGATAAGGCTTTGATCCTGTTGAGTAAAGGTCAAGGTATCACTAAAAGCATACGACTACTCTTTAAAATTAAAATGCTTAGTTTTAATGTGCATACTTTTCACTCATGGTTGCATATTTAAATGTAATTAAGAATCACATAAATGGGAAACTATAGGCATTTACACACTATAATCCTTCAGCATGATTCAAAAAAAAAAATCGATACGTGTGAAAACCCCTAAACTACCACTGAATTGTGAATATGAAGACAATGAAGAAGAAACAAATAATGGAGCATTATTATACCTAAATAGCTAAGCCAGTCATAAAGCTATAATGAGGACATTAGGCTAAAAGGAATAAGCCCATTGTATGAGGTCAGTTGATTGTATTACTGGTCTTAGATAGACACTCAAAGTAGCAAAATTTGTGAGGCTAGCAATCAAAATTTGTGAGACTGGCAACACACTGGGTGGTTGAACACACTGACAAAAACACAGCATTTCTTATGTGTAGGGAGCTTCAGCTCTCAAAGCTATGAAATTGTGTGTAGATATGCTACATAGAATGTCCTTAACCCTATGAAACAATACACTTGAAATGTGTAAGACAATGTTATGTTTTAAACACATTTTAATCACAATTTCTAGAAATACCTAGGAGGACACAACAACCATTAAATAAACAATGAAGTGAGAGTTGAGTGTGGTGACACATTCGTTTATTCTCAGCACTTGGCAGGCAGAAAGATCTCTTAGTTTGAAGCCAGCCTTGTCTACAAAGTGAGTTGCAGGACAGCCAGGGCAATACAGAGAAACCCTGCCTTGAAAAGCCACACACACACACACACACACACACACACACACATACACACACACACACACACACACACAAAGAACAAGTTGAGAAAATAAATATGACATGAAAACAAGAATAATATTTTTACAGGCAAATGAAAACATATGACTTTGATTTCAATAGTCATGGCTTCTAGATATTTTAAATCTTTACAATGTCTTAAAGAATACAATATCTAATACTGTCATTTACAAAAATACATAGGGTACACCTGAGTACATAATTACAACTGAAGCAATTGAAATCATAAAAAAAAATAAACACAGAAAATAGAGCTGTAAAATAAGAAAAAGAAAAGTTTGGGCTCATAAAATTCTGAAAGACTATAAAAGGGGTGTTTAACAAAGCCACTCTAAGGGTTTGCAATTTTCAAATATCTACATATCCAGCAAAGGCATACCCTTTAATCACTGATGCTGAATATATGGCACACACACACAAAAAATGCAAAAAATAAATTAGAGGACCAGAAAAATGCGTCAGTGGGTAAACCTGACCACCTATGGTCCATTCTGCAACCCACGTGGTAGAATGAGAAAATCAACTCCTTTTACAGTTTTTAAAAGTTTTAATTAAAATATACTTTTTCCCTTTCCTTTTCTCCTTCCAATCCTAGTCATGATCACTTCCTTAATTCTTCCCATGCCCCAATATGAATGCTTTTTCTCTTTGGTTATACTGTTCACACACAAAATCACATAAATATATAATGATAATCACTCGCATACAAGTATATAACTACAATAACTCACAAATAGCTCTATTTTGACTAATGAGTTTGTCAATGAAATTTGAGAATTGCATTTGTGGTGTGAACAGTGTTACAAGGGCTTTCCCCATAGACTTTTAAGAACGGGTCTGAGTTTTCTGAGCTGTGGGAAGCAAACTTATAATCTCGACCCTCATGTGCAAAATGGTCTTTAGGGCTGGGGAGATAACTCAGCAGTTAAAATGTCTGTCACTCAAGTATGAAGATTTAAGGTTTGGATCCCTTTGTAAATGCAAGAGAGCTTATAATTCCAAGCATGGAAGGCAGAGACAGGAAGTTCCTTAGGCAAACTGGCTAAGGAGACTAACTATACTGGCTAGCTCTGAATCTGATGGAGAGACCCTGCCTCAATAAAAAAGGTAGAAGAGCTGTCAAGGAACATATGAACAAATCCAAATACACACACATCCCAAGTATTACACAGACATAAAGTTAAAAAAGTAGGACTTGGGCAATCTTCATAACTCCATGCAGCATTGATAAAGCAGTAGGAAGAGGCTGGGCATGATAAGCCTCTGACAGGAGATGCCCTTTAATGGTAAGATACAAAATTTTCCCTTAAAGCCAAACCTTCTTTTGGATTCCTGGATGGCTCACCTGTGTGCACTGTCTCACTTGTTCCTACATACCTGGGTGTGCTGCTCTTACTTGTCTCTTCACACTCCAAGGCTCTTGTCTTTGCTCCAGAAATGTGACCAGATACGGCTTGGAGAAAGCAAGACCTGTTGAAGAAGAGAACAAGATGCTTGGTTGTTTAACTACTGGAAAAATTAACACGTGAATTTAATTTTAAGTTTCGTGCTCAAAAGGAAAGAGATGATAAAAGATTGTGGGGAATTCTATCTTTAAACATCTCCTGAAGGACAGGGTGATTGGGAGTAATTTACAACCTACAGATCCTGAGCCCCATTACAAGAAAAAGTATTAAGAGGGAAGGGTGCTCTGTGCCTCTTGCTGCTGAGTTTCTAACATTGCTACTGCAGTGAAGGACACATGCGTCCAAACACAGGTTTAAAAAGACATGGGGAAAATACAATAAAATGTTTCTTAGCTCATCACATTCCACTTTGTTTCCAGAAATGCCACCATATGAACTACAATGTTAGACAGCACAAGCTCCCGTGAGATAGTCTACAAATGGAGGCAGTCACATATTGACAAGTAAACTAAGAGTTCACAAAGGACACGATCCTCACCCAGGAACACAAGGTGGCTGTAATTCTCCAGCATCACTTCCCTGTACAGATTCCACTGAGCAAGGTCCAGCCATTTCTGCTCCTCTGCAGAGAAATCAATGGCCACATCTCCAAATGAGAGCAGTTTCTGAAATCAAATGAAACCAATAGCACATTGAATAATACAAGCACTGAGTACTCAATGTGCTTGGAGTCCCGATTCTACATTTGGCCAAAGATTAAATTAAAGCTAGAAATTATTATGACATGGGTGAATAATATTAGGTATTTTTAAATGAAATACCTTATGAATTCATCCTCTTTAAATAAAGAGGATGACATAAGATGCAAAAGTTACATGAAGATAATTTTATGATAAAATGTAAAATGTAGGAATCCACAGAAATATGTATGGTGTGGTATGCTTGTATTATATGCCACACATGACCTACATTCTCCCAGGAGAAGGCCACGGTGAGTGTGTACACCTTGTCTAGCACTGTAACAGCAGTGGAGCAGGCCCATACACTCTAGCACTGACTTCAGTAATGTACTCAGATCCACAAACACAGTTAGTTCCAGCCTCCCCACTTCGTTTCATGCAAACACAGTCCTGCAAACGCATCAATTTCAACTTCGTTGTGACTGTCTTCTCTCTTTAATTTCCCCACAAACTGAACTTGTCCTACTGCCAGCAGGCCTTCAGAGAACCTGGAGACAGAGATCAGCACCTATCAGTTTCAGGATGTCAAAGATTATGCAAGTCTACCTCTTGTTTTCCAGCTGTGCACCTGACTGGAAAGTCGACACACCTTGCACTGCTGTTTGGGCTTGGGTTCTTGTCTAGATCTCACAGGACCTTAGTGATAGGAAGGGTATCACTAAGACTGCCAGCCCTTTCAGGAATGTGGGGATACATGGTAGGCTAATAAGTTAAAGCTCCATATGGTCTTCCTGTCTGAAAGCTTCTCTAAGCAAAGTCATTCCACTGACTTAGAGACAAAATCCTATGAAGACTATGCTTTCTTAGCTTGGTCAGGATTCCAAAGCTACTTAACGTAATTCCCCTGGCAGGTGGTGCCTCTAATATCAATAATGACAGAGATGTTGTTTGTGGTAAACAAGCAAGGTTGTTGTAGGTCAATTTCTGTTTACTTTTTAAAATCTCCTACTTGATTCTCTATGTGCAGTAACATTACTCTAGATGTATAAATGAAATTGCACATTTATTATACAAAGTTGTTAAATATCAGTGAGCACTTGCTCTATCTTGTTAACTCATAAGAACAGTATCTCACGTATCAATATAATAGATTAATACAGTTTAAATACTTAGGTGCTATTTGAGTACTCAAATTAAAACAAGTTTATTTGTTATGCCCAGATGCTTTCTTTATTGACTGTTAATTTGGGGGTGACGAGGTATATTTATTTGTCTACTCTCTATATACGGTTTATCCTGTTTTAAAGCATCTGCCTCTTTGGGAGTTAGCACTTAAACACATTTTTACATATACATACGTATAGGTATATGTAGAGCTAGTACATGTATATGTAGAGTTAAACTAAAGGTCTGATCTGCAGAGGCACTCTTCACACACACACATATATTGCACTATTTTGTTATATAGATGAGTTCACTCTAAGAATTGTTTGGAAGAAGTTCATACAGTTTTGGATATTTAGCTTAATCTTTTAGGGTAAATTTATCTAATTAACTTCAATTAATTTATTGTGTAAGAGATAAAAGTCTTGTCCTTTGCCCCTTATTACTGGAAATCTTTCATCATTCTTTCATGGTAACATTCCTACAGCATAATGAGAGCTGCTTATAGATCTTACACTTTAAAGTATAAATAATGTTTGGGTTCATATAGAAGAGAACTGATAGGTTGATGGGCTAATGTGGTGATATTTTGTTTATGATCTAAGAAATGAAGCTTGCCTGAAGATCAGAGTGCAAAGCTAGCCACACTAGTTAGCCATAGAAGCCAGGCAGTGGTGGTACACAGTTTTAATCCAAGCACTCAGGAGACAGAGGCAGACGGATCTCTGTTAGTTCAAGGCACCCTGGACTACATGAAATTGATACAGTCTAAAAGAGAAACAGATCACACAAAGTGCTGATCCCAGCACTTGGAGTGAAACGGCTATAATCCCAGCACTAAGGGCAGTCTGAGGACAGGATTGCCCCTTCGGTCTGAGCATGAGTTGAGGTAAGAAGTCTGTAGTGGCTGGCTGCTCTGCTTCTCTGATCTTTCAGCTTTCACCCTCTGATAGATGACTCTGAGTTTTTATTATTAATACCAATTAGAATTCATGCTACCTGCAGCTTTTGTTCAAATTGGTGATTAGTGTGAAATCCTCAGGATGCAGACTGGGAGCTTCAACTAGTCTGAGCAGAGCTTCTGCCATGCTTATTTTGTTGCATGTTATTTCCTCTCACACATTGTTATCAACATATGAGTCATGATTTATACAGAGTATCTGAGGAGAGTGAAGCATAGCAGTTAAGTACTTCATTGCCAAATTCCATTAGGTTCTATATTGTACTGGGGGGGGAGGGAGAAATAAGCTTGTAGCTCTGGCTGGCCTTGAACTCACTATATGGGCCTTGAAATCACTTGCCTCTGTCTCCTACACGCTAGGATTACAGTCACATGCCACCATGCACAGCAATTTCTATATTCATAATTTACTATGAAATATCATCTTTTAAATTTCATAAGTTTCTATATACACTCTTGCATAGAAAATGTAGTTCATTGCATACACCTCATGAGCTACACCTTGATCTAGTATTTTTATGTTTTTACTTCTGCTTTCTTTTAGACCGTATTAGGGCATGCTGACATTAGTGGTATATAGGGTGAATTAACAAGGAGCTGCTAAGCTAACTGATTACAGAACAGACCCCTCTGGAAAGATATAAAACATTACCATTGTACTGGCTGGTTTTTTTGTGTCAACTTGACACAAGCTAGAGTCATCAGAGGAAGGAGCCCCAGCTAAGCAAATGCCTCCTTGAGATCCAGCTGTAAGACATTTTCTCATTTAGTGATTAATGGGGGATGACCCAGCCTATGGTGGGTGGTGCTAACCCTGGGCTGCTGGTCCTGAGTTCTATAAGAAGGTGGGTTCAGTAAGCCATGGGAAACAAGCCAGTGAGCAGCTCCCCTCAATGGCTTCTGCATCAGCTCCTGCTTCTAGGATCCCTGCCCTGTTTGAGTTCCTGCCTTGACTTCCTTCAGTGATGAACAGTAAGGCTGAAGTGTGAGGCTAATAAACCCTTTCCTCCCCAACTTGCTCTTTGGTCATGGTGATTGTTTGTAGCAATAGAAATCCTGATTAAGACCACCATAGTCTCACATTTCTAAACAAAATTTATTGATATAGTAGTTCCATTTGGTAATCATTTCTGTCTATGGATGAATCTAGTGGGACATCTAATCTCAATCTGGCATTTAGCTATTGATATTTCATGTAACTTAAAATCATTTTTGTGGCTGGGCAGTGGTGGCACATGTCTTTAATGCCAGCACTCAGGAAGCAGAGGCAGGTGAATCTAAGTTAGAGGTCAGATTGGTCTAAAGAGTGAGTTCTGGGATGGCCAAGGCTGCACAGAGAAACCCTGTCTCAAAAAAATAAATAAATAAAAAATAAAAACAAACCAACAAATAAACCACAAAGAGAGATCATTTTGTGGCTTATTTTTATTTTTTCTATTGCTTTTCACAACTTGATTTATTTTTTATCTTTCTTCAACTCTACTCTTGAACACACTTTACTCTGGGTTCTATTACTTGTATATAACCATTGACTTAATTAGAAATTTAATAAAGGTAAGAGATTATGGGGTGGGAAGCTTTTATTTAAAGTACATGGTGTGCAAATGCATGTTTATGCAAGAGAATGTTTAAATTTTATATCCAGCAAGTATAAGTAATTAGTGTCTCTTAGCTACACAAGGAAAGTGATAAAAGTGAAATTCCAACTGATTTCTGGGGCCTCTACTAAGTAGCAGCATCTTAACAATAAAACACAATCAAACACAGGGGACACCAACACTGCATTCATAAAACTACCCTATCTATCTTACTTGATTTGAATTTAGTTCAGATCTTTTCTTGCTGACACTATTAAATAATCATACATACCAAATGACTACAACCTGTTACCTTTTTTAATTTATCCTACAATTATACTTTCTTGAAGCTGTTCTGTGTTTCATACATTCTCAATTTGCAATTTGCAATCCTCACTGTTTGTTTTCATGACCAAAGGATTCCACCCCTCAATTAAAAAGTTAAAATGATGGGGACAGGCACCCCCTAAAATCAGTTGGACTATAATATTCTGATAACACAATAGGAACAAGTTTAGAGTGGCATCCTGAAGACTTGGATAAAGTGTTCTTCATTCCCATAAGGGTTGCCTACCTGGGGGCTGGAGAAATGGACAATTAAGGAGAATTAGGAAGGAAGAGTCTGCTACCTGAGCTTAATTGAAGCTTTGCACCAGTTTAAAGTCAAGAATTCTGGCAACTATCATTTAATGTGAAGGCTGCCAACACAGAGGCAGTATTTCTCTTTTTGTCTGCATTATTTTTTTTAATAAGAATGTCACAACAGCAATGAATAGGGCTGGGGAGATGGCCAAATGAGTAAAGATACTTAATGCCAGGACTGACAGAATTCAATACCCGAACTCAGATGGTGGAAAGACAGAATGGCTCCCAGAAGGTATCCTCTGACTTTCATGTGCATGCCCTGCCATGTCAGTGTAGCAGAAACCAGTAATCCTAGTCTTTAGGAGGTAGCATTATGAGTTCAAGGCTAGCTTCAACTATTTATGGGGAATTCAATTCTAGCCTGGGCAATATGAGATCATGCCCTCTCTCAAAAAACAAAACAAAACAAAACAAAAACAAAAAAACAAACAAACCCAGAATCATAGAGAAAAAAGAAATTATCTTTAAAATGATGTCTTAAAACTTACAGTATTTCAAAACAGTGATACAAAATATTCAAAAGTTTCAGCAAACTCAGGGCTGGA